CAGTAAGTTGTTTCATTTCATTCCATAAACACTGCATTACTAACTAATTTAAATTTATAAAACTCAGTTGTAATTTGTATTATGATTATATAGTGGATTCAGTTGGTATTGTCTGCAAGACCAATTGTCTGTTTAAAAAAAAATTTAGTGAGAAATCTGGAGAAGGGGCTTCTCAAAATAAACACAATTTACAAGGTAAAATATAAGGACTCACATTCACTTTTCTGTTTTCTTTAATTTTTCATACAATATATTTTGATCATGTATTTCTCCTTCCTCAGATCTTCATTCCCTTCCTCCACGAACAACTAGGTTTTTTTTTCTTTCTTAAGAAAAGAAAACCACAAAACGACAATCAAAGCAATCAAAAATCAATTGAGACAGAAAATTGTGAAAACAAACTGAAACAGAAGGCCTACAAAAGCAATCAAATAAACAAACAGCAGAGTTTATTCTGTGTTGGCCAACTACTCCTAGCTATGGAGCAGGACCTGGAATGTGGTCGATCAGCCCAGTGACATTCCTCTAGAGAACACTGATTTTTCTTTTCCCAAGAGGTATCAATTACAAGAAGCTTCTTGCTTAGTGGTAGCATACCATATGTACTTTCCTCTCTCAGTGCATGGGTCCCACATGACTTGAACCCATGCAGGTCTTGTGCATGCTAGCAGTCTCTGTGTGTTCATTTGTACATCAGTCCTTTTGTGACTGGAAGACACTGTTTCTTTGGAGCCATCCATCACACCTATCTCTTCCACCTCAATTCCTGAGCCTTGAGGTGCAGGTGACAAGGATATTGCTTTTAGGACTGAAGGCTGTAAAGTCTCTCACTCTATACATTGTTCAGCTGTATCTCTCTGTGTTAACTCCCATACAATGCAAAAAGAAACTTCCTGATGAGGGTTGGGAAGGCTTCTGCTCTATGTGTATAACAATATGTCATTATGAATAATTTTATTGCTATGTTGTTTACCAGAATAATAACAGTAGGTTTTCTAATAGTCACAAGACCTGTGCAGTCTCAGATTCTTGTCTATTTCAGCAGTGTCTGGTATGGGTTTTATCACATGGAATGGGCCTTGAATCTAATCTTTTAAGAAGGTAAGAAAGTCCCATAACATTTATGGCATTATTGCACCAGTATATCTTACAGGAAGGTCACTGTGTTAGCTTGCAGAGTTTGTAGCTGACAGATATTAATGATTTCAGGCTCTTATGGTAGTTTTCAGGTTATCTTCAAGCATCATGAATGCTAGTCAGTAAGAGTGACATAAAAAGTGTTATCTTCAGCAATAGAACCTTACTATCAGGAGACGAATTAATAGCTTTGGCAATTGTCTTATATTTTGAGAAAAGTTCATGATACTCCTTTGGCCAATGACTCAACAAGATGTAATCAATTCCTGGCACTGGAGATTTTTACTTGGTGACATAAAATATCTAGTTGTAGAGTTGTTTCCACAATTATATGGTGACTCCATTTAGATTTGTCCATTTGGCTTAGGGGAAAACCTACTAGTGTTCTTCTGGTAAAGAAACATCATTTCAGTGATAATTCATCACTCCATCCTCACCTGAGAAGCTTCTCCTTGCAGGAGATAGGAAATAACCCAGAGGTCTACACATGATCAGTGTGCAGAGACTAAGAATGAGAACACTTAGTCCTAAAAGAGATGTCTTCATCAAACATTTCCCCTCATAGTTTATGGATCTATGTGGAAGAGGAGGCAGGATGTTTGTAAGAGCCATAAGTGCGGTGATGGATAACACCATTGAAACAGCATCTTCCCAACCCAATATGGATATAAACTTAAAGAGACTAAGACAAAGTGCATAAGACCTGCACTGTTTCACACCAGACAAATTTCTAGCACTGAAAAGTTGGACGTGGACAGAAAGTCCCATTCCTACCCAAGAAGCTTCTTGAAAAAAAAAATAGTTTTCTTCAGTTGAGTGCCATTGCCTGTATCAAATCACCCTCCAAGCAAGGTCCCATATGCAAAAGTAGGTGGCAAATACAAACAAAGACTTATGGCTGGCACTAATATTGGGGCCAAAAAAACAGTGATTAGATTTTTCATAGGCCCTAGGGCAGAACCAACTATTATTTTTGTTAAGTCATCATAGTACTAAATAAATTTGTCAAAGAAGCTTCTTTGAATAGTATATAGGAATTAATATAGAAGCACATCAGGTCAAGGTAAAGTCAATAAGATACCAAGGTATGCTCAGCCCTAGATAGGTTTGTATCTTGTGTCCCTTTCCTAGGTTTCAGAGATAATCACAATGGAAGGGGTAAAAGTTTATGAAAGCAGAGACCATGCAAAACTACAATAAAACAGTATTCTCAAGATACCTGGAAAGCTCACAGACGAATTCACAGTGATTGTGACAGCATGCACAAGACCTCTACAAAAACAGTCCACAACAAAAACCAGCAAGGAGGAGAGAGATAGTAACAAAGTCCCACTCATAGCATGAGAGCTGTTGGCAATTGATGGATGCTTGGACAAAGAGAACCAGTTTTCTGCAAGGTATATATGCCTGAGAGGGAGGCTATCTATACTCTAGCAGATGACTATATCTATATCTATATCTATATCTATATCTATATCTATATCTATATCTATATCTATATCTATATCTCAAAAAGAATATATAGAATTGGGGAGAAATAGTAGTGGGGATGATAGAGGAAGAATTACAGAGGAAGGACTAGGGGATGTACTAATAAAAACACACATTTTATCTATCAATTAGAAGTTGGAAAATGATACAATTCTAACAGTGGAATAAACATTTACAAATTTATCTCATTGTCATTTCCTGTGTGAAATAAGCATGTCAAGGTCTCAACATTTTTCACAAGGAATATATTTTTATATTCAGGGTTTGCTTTAAAGATAGATTCTTGGATTGATTCTCATAGGTTTTGTTTGTTTTTCACTGAAATTTTTACATTTGAATTCTTTGCTTCAACAAAGAATTGGATGCTGATACCCTGTATGTTAAGGACATAGGTTGCAAGTTCATTCATATTTAATACATATCACTTTTAATTCTTGACTAATGGCAAGTTTCAAGTAGGCAATGCATTTAAAATCTGAAGAAGAAAGGAAATAGGAGTAAAATGTCAGAGCAAAGACAGCAATGGGAAAAGAGGAGCAGTAAGAACCAAAGAGAGCATGGGAGAAGAGGGTTTAATAGAACAAGCCATGTACAAAAACATCAGAGAAGGAGATCTAAGACAGTTGTCCTTGAAAAGCAGAATCAGTTTTTAAATTTATTTATTAGAGCCCCATCTTTCCTTAAAAATTAAATGTGGTATTTTAGAGGTACAGGTGCACACATGTAATGTACTGTCACAGTACATGATTAATCTGTTTTTCTATGTGCTTCCATCCTGATTTTCTCCCATAACAATCCTTTGTTTTCACAGCTATGTTTGGAATAAGACACTGTTACAATTCTTTTTAACTTCAGTTTTTAGAATCCTTTACAGAACCAAGTATCAATGACTGTTCTGGGATTCATTGTAAAATGATTTTCCTAAGAGTTTAATGTGATGAAAATTTTATATGAAATTGTTTTATTTATGAATTCCTGATACTATATTAAGCCTCATGCAAGTATTTTTATACCATGAAAGTAGAATTAGAGACACAATTTCATTTAATAGAAAAACTAAATAGGTGTTGAATACATAACCTTATAACTTTTGCAATTGCTAATGCTGTCTTTTGAGTTTCTTTTCTGTGAAATCATAGATAGATTTAGTTATTACAACTGAGTATGTTTAATTCATCAATATTTCATTTACAGTTATAGTGACACTGATGCTTCACCATAGGCTTTTAAAATAATAAAGTCATGAAATTGCATCATGCTCAAAAGAGATGAAACCATTGCCCTATCAAGAGAAACCTGTTAAGTGTCATCTCTATGTCTTTGCAAACCCTATAATTTTCCTTGAATATCCAGCAGTCTGCCTCCATTTCTCGGCGATAAATCATTAGCTGGGAAATGGGGTGAGACCTCATTATCACTCACACTAAACTACTTTCACAGAATATGTTAGAAGAAATTTAGAAGTCTACTCTGAAGCATTGTAAAACATATGATACTGACTACATATATCAAGTGTCTTTTGTGATTTGGCATCCTAGATTTGTAATCATGTTTGATGGCTTGTTCACTAATTAACTAATTGGTGAATCTGTAGCATTTGTAGAAAGTTGACCTGCTCCTCTGTAATTGTAGCCTGCATCAATCTTAAAACTTCATGAGTATTTTCAACTTTAAAATATAAATGTAAGCAATTATTCATTTGTGGAACCATCTCTTTAACTTTGACCTAATAAAATACACTAGTAGAGTATATTTATTGTCTTCAAGAGAAACAAGCTGTTTATAGAATAAGTTATTATCTTCCAAGTTAGATTATATAAATTAAATCCCTCTAAATAAAATAAATACAGTAAAATCAAAGACAATTATCTTCAGATAATTAAGAAAGTGACTACCAAAATTAATTATGATTAAAAACTCAATATGCAAATGGTGAAGGGAATTACAAAATAAAAATGAGCAGTGGACTTGAAAAATTGTAATCATATTATAAACCAAATGATTCAAAAATAACAATAGTGCATTACCAATCCCCTAAGCTACATCTTAAGTTAAGCACAGATATGGCGAGTATGGAACTATTACCTTGCATATCACTAATGAAAGTATTAAAAGAAAAACAGTTGAGACATATGAAAAATAAGCCCAAACTGCTTTTTCAGAAATAAGACGAATTTCTATACATACAACTAAATAATGTAAAAAGACATTGTGATTTTGTTTGGTTTTCTTTATATAAAACAGAGGTAATGTTTAAATGTCACTTTATTATGTTTCAGTCCTTTTGATACATGCAGACATTAATGAATTTAGTATTACAACATTAAAGAAGACTAAAATTAATAAAATTAAGTTCTAAATGAAACCACCTATCTATATGCCTCTAGCAGAAATCTTGATCCATAGACATCTATGACTCTGTAGCATACATGCCAATATTGGCCATTTTAGAGTTAAATACACATGAAATTCCAGTTTTGAAAGAGAGGGGAAAGGCAGAAAACTAATTTATTTTGAGATCGTTTATTATTTGCAGCTCAATGTATTTTAAAATTGCCATATGTATAACAATGACTTCCTGGTTTCCTATACAGGTGGCACTTAATTTGAGAAATACATTTTAATTTATTTTTTTCAATTCTATGAAAGTAGCAAAATAATAATGGACTATTCCCATCTATAATGCCCCAAACATTTTTACCTGGCTTAATTTAATATTTAAAAACATATAATATGGGTTACCATTCACCCCAAACTCAAATATGCTGCTAATTCCTAGCCACAAGGAGAGCAATAATGCTAAGAATACCTACTATCAAATAAGGTCATCATTTCCAGGGATGTACTCAACCTGCCTGGATAAACAGAGAACCAAATCCTCATAACCTCAAACACCTCATGTGGAATCACCAGGGCACGATCAGGGTTATTATCTCAAAATGTAATTAGATCTAATTATACCTCAGATTATTCTCCCTAAATTTTCACTCTCCTAGTTCTTAAGCATATTGATTATACCACACAATCACAGGCTCACTGATTTGTTGCCTTTTAATTGGTCTCCAGTGTTTCTGTGATGTATATTAATCTTCCCAATATCATTGTGGGGCTTTTAAAAACACCACATTATCCATATTTCTTAGTGCTATTGACAATCAGGAAATGTTTCTTTAATGCAAACATGATGAAGCAGAAGCAGTTTAACATGGACTGTTAAATCACTTAGTTATGCAAGAGATAACATGTGCCAAAGATGGAATTTAGACATCTATTGTATCCCAGTAAAATAAAATTAAACAACAGCTGCAAAGGTAAAGATGAAGCAAGGAATCTAGGTTCAATGAATTAAACAGGAAACTAGAGGTGGTCATTCCAGATAATTTGGAATAAGTTTTATATTTCTTGTTATGGAGAAATAATGACAAATGTTCACATATTTCATTTTTAAAATTGTATGTGTTTATGTGTATGTATTTGTATGTGAAAATCCATAAGTCCCATTGTAGAGGTTAGAAGACAAAATTAGGAGTTGATTCTCTCCTTCTAAATTGTGGGACCTAGGGATCAAACTCAGGTCATCAATCTTCCAGGCAAGCACTTCTATCCAGTGAGATATCTTGTCAGCTTACACATTTTATTAACAATATAATGTATTTATTAACTTTTTGAGAATTTCATATTTGCATAAATTGTATTTTAATCATATTCACCCTACTCTGTGCCCAAATCCCTTCCAGATTAATCTCATACATCCCTGACTTCACATCCCATTTAAATTTTTTCCATTTTAAATTTTTTCTTTAATTATTACTGCTACATGCATACATGGATATAAATATGTGAATACAACCTGTTGAATCTATTTAATGTTGTGATATATATGCTTTTAGACTGACACCTTGAAGAAGACTGATTCTTGCTTTCTCAGTAGTCATTAATTGACTGTAGCTCTTCATCTCGAGGTGATGTCTGATGCTATTTTTCCAATCCATGCAGGCATGTAGACATGTGCTTTCATTGTCCAAATATTGTTCAGCCTATCATATGTTTGACCCTTCATGTATGTGGCTTCCTTGCTGTGAATAGAATACATATTTCAGCAGGGCTTCTGGGTCTTTCAGTCTTTTGACACCTTCTTTTGCAATGTTCCCTGAAACTTAGATGGAAGCTTTATATAGAAGATGCATTACTGGGGGCTATGTACACCAGAATCTGTCATTTCTGCATTTTGACTAGTTGTGGCTTTCTGTAATGGTCTCCAGTTTTTAAACTCTCTGCTTTCATGACTTATAGTAATTGAACACAAAAATATTGTTTTATTGTCTAACTGAAAAATGGTCTAATGAAGCCACTGCAGATCAGAGTGCAAACCTAGCCACAGCCATAGAAGATGGACACTAGTGGCACATAACTTTAATCCCAGGACTAAGGAGACAGAGGCAGATGGATCTCTGTGAGTTCAAGACCACCCAGGGCTACATGAGAGTGATTCAGTCAAAAAGAGAAACAGAGTTTATGCTTTTAATCCCAGAACTAGAGAGTTATGTAAGACAGGAGCAGGCATTCAGTCTTGCACTATTACTCTCCAGCCACATTGAAGAAAGGAAGGCATTCAGTCTCCAGCCACACTGAGGATTCATGGAGCCAGGACTGCCCCAGCCTAGGTAGAGGTAAGAGTTGGTGGCTGCCTGCTTTGCTTTTCTGAGCTTCAGCTTGAACCCTAATATCTGTCTCTGGGTTTATATTATTCATGCTACATCTATAAAATTCAGCTACTTTGTAACTTTTGTGTGTATTTTCACATTATTTTAAACTTCCAAATATAATAGGTATATATTTTATAATTTACTGTGACAGCAAATATACTGATAATCCTGCATTATGGCATTGAGTAGCAATAAAATAGTGGAAATAAGTTACAATTACAATAATATTTACATCTTAAGTATTCTGATAACACCACTGCCCAATTGGTAATAGCTGGAAATATTATTTCTAAACCAAATTTATTCAATCTTAGTATTATCACATTTCTACTTTGGGAATTAGCTCTATGCCAAGACTAAAAATTTAAGTCTATGTAATCAGTATAATACGTCATTAAAACTTCCAAACATTTCAGGAACATTCACTGACATTTCATATTTCATTTACATATATCATCCAGTTAATTTTAATTATTATACTTGTGTGAAGTCAGTAACAAAAAACAACTCTTTTTCTGAAAAGTGAGTTGAAAATATAATCCTTTTGGCTGTGACTTCTATCATAGTTGCTTTTCTATTGTTATGAAAAAATACTCTGACAAAAAGCACTTTAGGGAAGAAAGATTTTATTCTTATTTAGAGCTCCAGAGGGATAGAGTTCAGGGAGTCATGGCAGCAGAAAGAAAAAACATACCAGAAAGAACAGGAAGATGCTGGACTACAGTCTATTGACACACAGAATGATGAAAGGAAGAACCAGAAGTGGGGCTAGGCTAAAAATTCCCAAAGCCCATACCTAATGGAATGCTTCCTCCAGCAAGGCTCCATCTCCTAGAGTTTCCTTAATTTCCCCAAATAGCACTATAAACAAGGACCAACTGTTCACTTAATGAGCCAGTGAGGGACATTTCATATTGAAACTAAAATGATTCTGTGCTGTTATTTTAAATATGAAGAAAAGAGATAAAATTCATGAAACAAACTTGTTGTTTTTATAGAGACAACATCCCTGGGTCTCAAATCTAATAAACTGTTCTACAGTGTTTTCTGAATCTCAGGCTGTGTGGGTACCTAATTGTTAACTTGTTTTATTTTTCATTAAACCTTGTGATGTAGATATTACTATAACACCTATAATACAGATAACTAAAGTATAGTTATAAGGTAGTAAGTTTATTTAGAAGTCATGCTAAGGATAGATCAATGATATTCCCTTGGGATTCTAGTTCTTATGAAAATATATTAACTCAGAGAATTGAAAAAATTAAATAGCAATATGACAAGCCTTCTACTCAATAATAGATTAATGAACTTAGTAAACTGTTCTCAAAAAAAGAAACACCAATCAAAATGTTGAACATCCTTCACAATGAATAAAATGCTTATTTAGAAGATGAAAATGTGGTACACTTATACAAAAGAATACTTACTATTCAGCATTTGATCATCTCCAGGGATGAGCACCTAAGTTGATTATCGAATTCTAAGTCATTAGCCCTGAAATAAAATACACACAAGTAAAACTAAGTAGAGTAAGCAAATTGTGTTTATATAGATAAACTAACAACAATTTTAAAAAAGAGGTCATAGATTTGGAAAGGAATGAGTAGAGGAATCCATGGAAGGGGTTCGAGGAGAAAAAGAAAGAGGTTAATTTAATCATATTTTAATATAAAATGAAAATATGTGTATAAAAATGAAATCTGCAGGAAAATGGCTGGAGATATAAACTGTCTGAGTGAGGTACCCAGACACAGAAAGATAGAATGTCACATATTTTCTTTCATCTGTGGAATGTAGATTTAACTATTCAGATTTCTGTGTTCCATTTGGAGTTCCCACATAGGTTGGCACATGTAAAAAGAGGAGTCCTTATACACTGTTGATTACAATGTAAAGTGGTATGACTCTAACGAATTAAAACTACAACATAACCCAGCTATATAACTCCTGGATATGTTCTCAAAGGACTCCAAGGTCTACTGCAGATATGTTTACACATTTTCACTGTTGCACTGATCTCAGTAGTTAAGACATGGTTGTTGCTTAGATATCCATCAACAAATAAAATAAATATATCTTCAATAGTAACAACAATTATTAATAATGATAATAAAAATGAGTTGTATATGTTTCAATGAAATTTAAGTCACCCATAAAGAAAAAAATGAAATCATGACATTTAGAAAGTAATGTATAGAGCTAGAAATCATTATAAGTGAAATAAGCAAAATTCAAAAGAACAAAAATATGCCTCTCACATGGAAATACAATATTTTAATATTTTAATCTCTGTGTGTTTGGGTGTTATATATGGTATGTGTTTACAGTGTGTGTGTGTGTGTGTGTGTGTGTGTGTGTGTGTGTGTGTGTGCATTAGTCACGAGACTAGGAAGGGTAGAAAGAATAGATTTTAAGTGAGGCAGAAAACTGGATCCAAATTACATGAAAACAGAAGGGGATTATTAGAGGTGGGAATGGAGAACAACAGGAGAGGGACAAGGCATGAAAAAGGAAGGATTTGGGGGAAGCAGATCCATAGGAAAAAGTGTGTATGAAAAGGCCATAATGAAAACATTGCATTTCATGCTAATTAGAAAATAACTAAAGACAAAACTCATGTTTTCCCGGGCAGTGGTGGCACACACCTTTTATCCCAGCACTCAGGAGGCAGAGGCAGGCAGATCTCTGTGAGTTTGAGACCAGCCTGGTCTACAACAGCTAGTTCCAGGACAGCCTCCAAAGCCACAGGGAAACCCTGTCTAAAAAAACAAACAAACAAAAAAACCCCTCATGTTTTAATAACTGAAATTTTAGACATAGAAATGTATCCCCAATAATTGGTGAATACCTTGCCTGAGGTTGAAAAGGAACATTATGTACAGTACACATATGTGAAAATCTTATACTATAAATTACTCTAAAAACACAAAGCACTAGAATTAAAGAAGTGGACCCAGTTTTAAAATTCTGATTTCAAGCAACTGAAACAATGATTTTCTTTGACCTCTTACAAGAAAGATAGACATGTGTAGTAGAATAATCCTGCATTAAAATAGATTATTTGCACAGACATTTTTTTCTTGAAACAGTATTTTCCTATATAGCTCCTTTTGGCCTAGAATTCATTATATAGACCAGGCTGGACCCTTTGTCCTTCTCCCTCAGCCTTCTGAGTATTGGGACTTTAAGCATGCACTCCCAAGCCCAGTTTTACTTTGATAGTTCTTTGGAAAACAATTAATAATAATCTTTTTTAAAAAAAAAAAGAATAACAATAGCAACACAAGAAACCATTAAGTGGTATTGAATTGCTACTTTCACTGTATTGATAAGAGTCAGGAAAGTTTGCATATGCCCCAGCTCATCAAGCAGTACAGATAGGATATATATAGTTCTTTTTAGATCAGTATTTCTCAGTAATGCTCTTTTTAATTAAAAGGTATCTATCCATATGTGCAGGGAACCTTGTTCCAAAGGGGTCTAACACCTGGGACAGATGTGTGAAGTTGGCACAGCAAAGAAACTGTGGCCCTATATAGTTTCAATATTTCTGCATGAATAGTTTTACATTCAAATTTGTTTCCTTGTGTATCTAATAATGGTTATAATAATTTCCAGTTTGTTCCCTTAACCTCCTTCCCCTTCTGTCTCCCAATTTTCCCACTGGTAACCATTACCTATTTGAGCCATAGCTCTAATGTTAGAAGCATAAGCAACGTTGCAGCAGACAAAGGAAGTTTTCTAATTAAGCGCACCAACAGGCAGGACATTGTGCCTGCCCAGTTGGCAGCATTTGTGGTTACAGCATCATGCAAGTGAAAGAGAGCTTTGCCTCTACTAGAGGTTAATATTTGCTTCTGATAAAGTCTAAGTTCTCACAATCAACTTACCAGTCAAGGCTGAATCAATTCACTATTCATTCTGTACTACTCTATCTCCTATGCAGATATACCAGGTTTTTTCCTATCATCCTGTAAGCAGAATAACTTAACAGCTTACTTTTCATATTTGGCACCACTTACCTCTTGTTCTCATGCCCCCCTCCATTCAACTTCCTACAATATTGGCACAGCTATTAGAAATGAAGACATTGCAGGTGTCTTTATTCCCTGTTCCCATTAACTGTTCCCATTAATACCTGATATCATCTATTTATTAGTATTTCTCTTAGAGAGTTATCCAAGTTTCTAATATTATAATGAACCCCGTGACTTTTTTAGGCTAGTCACAAGGTGTGCTGGAAAGGCAACATCTTTTTCTTAAGAATACAGAATTCATGGTCACACTTGCAACATCAAATGTTTAGGGGATGAGTTAGGCCCACTGTGTATTTTTTAACAACATTCCTTCAGGCTCAACGAAAGGAGAGTCATCAGGGACTTTTCCTTTTGTAATAGCTATTTTATCCATAGTTCTGAGAAAGTGAAATTAGTGGCAACTAGCAATATGGTTTTTATAAAGGAAGCAAGGAGAGCATATAGCACACATGCTCCTGGGGTCATGCCCAGAATTATGCAGCAAACTATCCATCAGCCTTGCAAAAATGGATCAGAATCTCCAGGACCTTGCCGAAAGGAGAATTTGTTCCTGCTATTCTCAGGCCTTGTTCCGCGAAGAAGTCACACGGCTCCAGTTACATTTGGAGAAATAAAAATAGTACTGAATTACATGACAGTAGAGGCAGGAATCACGTGACAGCTCTTGAAGAGTTCCAATTTCTACTGTGTGTTTCTGGTTATACCACCCAGGGTTGTGACTAGCTAACACTTAATTATAGCATTAGGGTTTCCTCCATATTACCTGCAGTATGAAAGGGATATGGTGAGAACCAGCACATACCCTCCACACTTAGGTTAGATCCAAGTCTTTTGGAGGTTAGAAATGAAGATCTGGTCAGTTCTGTGAAGACCTCAAAAATGTAGTTTTGAAAATGACATTATATTTGGTATCTCTCCCACTAAGAATGTCAGAACATGATGTGGATCTTTGAATTTAGAGGCTACAGTTGGACATTCTATTGCTATATGCCTTTATCAAGTAGTCAGAAGTTGTCCAGGTTTTCATTGGGGTCAGAGCAAGCGCTGTCAAGCATATCTGCAAGGGATGACTTTCCCCAGGCTTTGTGATGAAGGAGGGCTAATGATGGTAGAGTAATCCAAAAATGAAAATGAAGCCTCAAATTTAAGGAAATTTTTTATAAGAGAATATCAATGTAAATCACTAAGATGCTGCAGACATTCCATGTTGCCTATTGGAAAAATACCTGGTAGAAATAAAAAAAATCTAGTACGATTCTAGGGAAGACACACAATATGCACAGATCTGTAGTGTTGCCTGCAAAAACAAGAGATGTTTGTATTCATCCAAAGGTGTCACACAGAGGGAATACTCCAATCATTTAGACAGAATGACTTGTCTAGTGAATCTCAGCCAGCTTGCTGATTACGATCCTGTAAGGGTAACCAAAATCTCTGCTAAACATGAAGCTGCAGTTTTCACTTGATCACTTTTGGTTGATTTTAGCTAGCCAAAAGAACACAGATAACATACTCAGATAATCATGAGGTGGCAGCGTTGGTTTTAGACATCAGTCAGAGTATCATAGAAACCACAGAATGTACTAGAAATTTTGTTCCCAGTAATTAAGGGGAATGGGCATAGCCTGGAAATTTCATGAATATTAAGGACTTACATTAACTACTATAGTACTGGCTACTGAAGGGGAAATAAAAATAAAGAAGTAGATAAATGGGGAATTTGAATAGGCTTGTGTCCTCAGGCCTTTCTCAAGTAATGGGAATTGAACCTTATTTCACAAGAACAGTACGTGAGATCTTGGCAGAGACTGCAGGTAGCTATCCCCTTGAAACAGATTTACTGCAGCTCGAAATGAGAATGCAAGTGGTTTAAATGGCAGATTCTATTCACATCTCCAAGCACAGAGATTCTATTAGTCTAACCAATAGTCATTTTTTGAAAATGAGTTTCACATGAATATTCTAATAGTCATTTTTGGAAATGAGTTTTACATGAATATGCTAATAGTCATTTTTTGGAAATGAGTTTTACATGAATTTTTGCTGGGTTCATGTGGTTATAATATGGGCTCCTATAGCCCTGGTTTCACTTCTAGCCTATATTTCATTCCTCTAGCTGCTGATCCCAAGATACACAGGTGATTTTACAGTGTGGTACATCTTCAAGACAAGTTCACAGTCTGGAACTACAATAGCAGGAGAAGTAGAAACTCATACTTAAGGAAGAGAATCCCATATCAATGCTTTTTTCTAGCAAAGAATATTGTGCACATTTGTAAATCTCAAGCAACTGAGAACTAGCAATGATCTGTTTTTAAGTTAAATCTTGATCCCTGCTTTGGTCTCTTTTCTGTAGCTGTTTAAATGGCAAGTCTTAGTAAAGCTTGTGCATTATCCATGTTTTAGATTTATATTTACTAGCATATGGATAGACAAGAATGTCAATTGTTTAAGTATTTTTAATGGTAAGAGAAAAGAGAACCAAATTGAAATTCAAGTGAAATTCAATGTTTTATTGTGGAAGTTTTAAGTTAATTAATGTTTGAAATAAGTCTCCATGGATTTGAATGTATATATAAAGGAGAAACAGATTAATATGAGTCTTTTGTGCTAAAAGGAAAACACAGAGTATATATGTGTGTGTCACAAAGTGACACAGTGCTGTAAGTTAAGTATTATTATGTTTGGGTAGGAAGTTACTGGAAGGCTTGTTTCAGACAGAGACTAAGCCATGATGAGAATAGACTGAAACAAAATGAAAGCTTGTAAATTAAAATGATTTTTTGCTCTGAAGATCAGTTGAAATAAAGAAAGGAAGGGAAGGGAGAAAAAGAGGGAGGGACACACACACACACACACACACACACACACACACACACGAACGCACGCACGCACACACACACACACACACACACAGAGAGAAAGAGAG